TTCACTTTGAACAGTTTCTGTGAATAAATAATTAATTAGTAATTAATAATTTATAAGAATTATGAAAAAAAGAAATTAACAATATGTACCTAGTATAAAAACAATACTAATTTATGCTACATTTTTCTTACAACTACTAAGATTCTATATTACAAACAATTTCATATTTATTAGAGTTTGTATGTTTAAATAGCATTAGAATAGTTGGAATTCGCTGACTTCCAGAGAGAGACTTTGTATAAAAGTCATTTCCTCTGGCACCTCTGTCCCATTCGTGTTTCTAGCGAGAAGCAGTTGTGTTTTCATGGCTGTGTTTTCGTTTGAAGGGTGGGAATATGACAGTGAATTTACAGTGTACAGGCGAATATACCTGAGTTCTCGGGAATGGCAACGCATGGGGGGTATTATGGATGAAACGGTATACTCTGTTATGTCAATGGTACTGCTCATGTCTATAGGCGACAGTTACCACTTTTCACCAGGTGGGTCGTCAGCTTGTTTGCTGTTCTAAGTTGTATAAAAAAAAATTATGACGGTTTGAGGGTTGCCTGGTATATTGGAAACATTTCTTATATTTAAATATAGAGTGAAAGTTAAGGGAGCAAGTAAGATATACAACCTATAATGGCTACTGAAATAAGAGAGTGATCGGCCATCGATTGGGCAACACCAATTAATCTAATTGTCTATAGTACATAATAAAATTGTAAAGGTTAAAAAAAACCTGTCGATTGAATTTTTTGAGAAAAATTAACTAGGGCCCTAGAAGTAAATAATGGACTCTATAGGAGGACTAATCTCAATTAGTCACATTTGAAACTGATATCTGTATATTTGTTTCATCATTACGAGAAAATGACTGAACGGGTTATAACGAAATTTTACAATCGAAAAATATTAACCTAAATTAAAAACTGGTTTTAATTCCATTATATGAAGTGGCACAGAACATAGCGGTCTTTGTTAATTGGTTTATCCAATTAACAAACATATAATTACGAAAAAAATGTCCTAGAAGGTTGTAGTATTGTTTATATTTATATATATACATACATATATTATTAAAAAAATGTGATCCCTACGAATATTTGTTATGAACATTATAATAGAAGGTAAGATAGAAGGAAGGAGGGGAACAAGGAGACCAAGGCACAGTTATATCAGGCAGGTCAAGGAAAAAGTTGGTGTCATGTCATATCAAGAGGTGAAGAGACTCGTTGAAAATAGTATCGTAGTGAGTGGCAAGAGCTCCACAGACAAGAGAACAGATCTTAAATAAGACAGATAAATAGAACAGATTATTGTTAATTATTAAATTAAATAATTATGAATTAATTGTTAATTACACACATTCATGTGATTTTCTTTAATATAATATTTAATCAATTGTTAATTATAAATAATAATTTAATTTCATTAATATTCAGTTTCTTCATCTCAAAATAGTGTCAGTTTTGTATGAAGTTTGAATAGTGACGTCTGTAGTATTGTCTTTGTTCTTCTTACCATCAGAAGACTATTATTAGCATATGTTTTACATATACAGGGTGAATATAAAATCACTAATATCCTCCCAAGTGTTTTTCTATTAAAATTGTATATTCTTCTGATAAACACATGAGTAAAAAAAGATTCGTAGCCTCTCATACTCACTCCACCGACTCAAGTTCAAAACTTGCTTGTACATTGTAATGAAATGTTTATAAACATAAAAATATATTTTGGGTTCTCATAAAGGGCTCAACTACATTAATTTGATTATATCTTATGAGACTTATAAAGTACAAATGGAGTGTGCACCCTAATTCCCTCAACTAAGATAAAAAAAGTAGTCTGTTCTCCTCCATCTTCAATATTATATCTATACCAAATTTTATATTGACAAGGTGTCAATAGGCCATAAACAAATTTACTTCCACACAATATTAATAAGAAGGATAACTTAGTAAAGGTTGCTTGGAAGAGATTGCTTTTACAATAAGGTCGCCCATTGTTTTTTCATTGTGATTATTTCTTGCAACTCTTTATATTTGTAATAAATTTACTATTGTAATTTTTTGGAGGAATCAAATCTATCTATCTATTTATCTAATATATAATTGGGATTGGTACATTTTATTTGAAATCATATAAACTAAGTGACATGTTATGGGCCATTTTAAAGGAGTTGATAAATGGCGCACTATAGGAAAAAGGGCGCGTACACTTACTAAACATACCCACATCTCATTAAATATTATTAAATTACTGTTTCTAACAATTAGAACAGAATGAGGGTCAATCTATACTTATTATGAACCAATTGGTAACATACATCTTGTTATTGATATAAATTAATTTTAATTGGTCAATTCTGTCTGATACTGATTGGCATACATCATTCCATTCGTCTGGTAACCAGACACCAGTTGCTATGTATTTAATAAATGAAAATCCTAATAGAGGACATTTAACATTATTTATTAACAGGATAAAGATGACAGCTTGATACATGTGATGCCTGAATTTAAATACATTATATTAGCATATGTTTTCATCCTTGTGATGTCAGAAGAGATGAATAAATGAACAAACAAAACACAATACATATAGACTTTACCAATACCAAGGCACCTTACTAAAGATATTACAGTATGCTAATTATTCTCCTCTAGTATATATAGTATAATACTTATATATACTTAATAACAAGTAATTAAAGTATTTAATAAACAATATAACTTAATGATAGGCCATTTGGTCCTGGCATAGAATAGGCCACCCCTTCCTTTCCCGTGAGTGTTGTAAGAGGTGACTAAGGGAAGGCGAGGGATGGACATCAGCATTCATCTTAAAATATCTCCAAAGCCTAGTGGCAAAATATGCCTAGAAGGCTTATGTCCAGCAGTGGACAGTTAAAGGCTGATATGATGATGATGATGATGATATAGTATGATATAACAAAGACAATAAGATAGGCTGTTTGATGGTAAGTAGTACTATGACCCAAGGATAGTCAACTGAGAACCTAATATACAAAGGATGTATGTAGGCTAAAGAAACAATGAGTTGAAATACCTGAGTATGACAGATTGGCAGGTGTCGCATCACTAGAATGCTACAGTCACTTTTAGAGGCCTGTGTAAATCTGGTAATATTACAGAATTAACCAACAATAAGTTGATAATTTTTTTTTTAATACCACGAAAGTAGCAAATAAGCATATAGTCCATCTGATGGTAAATGTTTACTGTAGTCTATGGATACCTGCAACACTAGTAGTATGTGTGCATTGCCAACCCTGAAGAAATCTTAATATACCTTTATATATTTCAAACATGAAACCTTCCCTCTAAGCTCTTCAACTATTTAATTACTCAACTATTATGCGGGAGTTTATTACCTTGCTTCTTAATATTAAAAATATTAAAATTTGTGAATACGTCTGGATGTTTGTTAATCAATCACATGTTTTATTTTTACATATATGATCACCCTACACACATAGGATAATTTTAACTCTAATTCAAACATATAAAACCATCTAATATAACTATTGAGAATATAATAACACTTATACTTAAGTATTAATTAAATAAAATGATAAATCAGAATGATAGTGATTAAAAATCTTTATTTTACTTCAAACCCAAATAGATTGTAAAAGTTTGTAAAAAATGGCAACTATTGCTTTAGTTTTAGAAATATTGATTACTATAAAAATATAAGCTTATTTCAACAGCTCTAGTTTTTATGACAGATAGTATTGTATTGTCTCAAATAAAATCCTTTATCTATTTAAAGTAAATAAATGAACACTATAATGTAAATACAACTATTTAGTTCATTGGGCAAACAGATAAATATGTAAGGATTTCGAATATTAAGAATATATGATAAAAATATTTTTTAATTATCACTCTTTTATAATAGGTACATGATGAGTTCAGAGAATTATCCAATAAAAACGACCATCAAAAAACACAACAGTTACAATAAATTAAAGTGTGTAATTAACAAATCTAATTAAATCATATTTAATATTATATTGACTATTATTATAAGTCATGTGACTTATATATATATGACATATTTAACATATTTATTTATAATGAATCATTTAAATACCACATTTACCTATAAATCTTTTAAAATATAAACTAAATTTTTGGTATTAGCATTTCTTCTATATATATTCTTGTCTATATATACTATGTAAATACAAATAAAAATCAACAACTTTGAGCTAATACTAACAATGGAAAAGTTGCAGACTGATATTCCTTATCAGTCAAAGAAAATACAAGTTTAATACTATGTTTTTAGTTGTGTCATTGCATGTTATATTTGTATGTATTCCGATATTTTCTAGATCTTATGTCATGTGAAATTTCTGTAAATGTTTAATTATAAATTCAGTTCACTTTTATTAATGATATTGTTATTTTTTCTTTTTTCACTAGAAAAATATCATATATGTATTCTTTGTCAAATTCTCATTATTAATTTTTTTCTTAAATAATTAAATAAATAAAAGAAAAACAAAAACTAATTATATAATAACATTGAAAAAAGAGAACCTATTCTAGGAACTTGTTTACTTTTTGTACAAAATGAGGTAAATAGGAGAAATACAAATTACTTTGTAATTTATACTATATAAATTGTCACTCCAAACCAAACAACTCTATGCATACAAATTTATGCATACAAGAATAATCTTAGCAATTCACTAATTAAACGGAAAAGATGAAGGACGCCTCAAGGGAACTGTTATGTAGATTTGCCTCTGCTGAGGAGTCGTGTTGAGACGTAAAACAGATACAATATTCTAGTTTTCTAGATTGCAGAAGGTAGATTTATAGAATTGGAATGTGAAAACTTTGACAATAGGAAATGGAGTGCTACCGTATTGAATACGTAAGTAAACCACGCAATGCTGATACATAAATCATAACTTTTCTATAAAATTAATAGTGCAGAACGGCAAAACAAGTGTAGGTAATACAGTAGGTACTTACATATTCTGCTACGTGAATCAGTAGTATACACCCTAATAAGGGCAGAAATCGTTTCGAGAACTTCTCACAAACACCAGCCATTGTTGCACAATATTCACAATTTAACTATTTAAATAACAAGGTTTTGTCATATCATAATTATACACTATATTATGTTCTTTGTATAATTTTCCGCAAAATATTTACGACGCACTATCATCCACCATTCCTTGCGGATGTTGAATGATTGGATTTTAGTTGATATGAAATTGTATAAAATGAATGAATGATAGAATGAATGTTAACGCAGTGAGAGGAGGACTAAAAACATTCTGAAATTTTTGGAGGAGGGAGATACGCCACAGATTATACAGGTTACAGTAATAACCTAATCTTTTATCTCTCTAATCTGTGATTGAAACAACCGAATTTTAAATAAATGTGATTTAGAATATGTACTAATTTGTGATGAATTTATACTAATGATGTTCCCTATTAAAAAAATAATGTGACAGAAACTTAATAACGATAATGGCAAATTTCTTTTTCTGTAAGGCTATAGAATTTCCATAAGGGGACCTAAATGGGAATAAGGGGACAGAAGAATGTCCATTTAATTAGCGACATATTCTTAATATAATGCTTATATTAAACGACTATTTATAATAATATTTTTTAGATAACTAAATGATTATTTTACATTTTGTAATTTTAATTTTAGTTCCTAAATCGTTTGGCAGAGGCAATATTATTAGTCACTAGACATCACTATATTTTTTTGTAGTAAAAAATTTTTAGGCGCCATTATTCTAAATTTATTTTTTACCCATTGTTGTGATACTAAGTGAGATAAGAGTAGAAAGATGATGTTATTGAAAATTGAAATTTCTTTTTTTTTTGCATCGGAATTATGGACGAGACGAAAATCAATTATTTTAGAAATGTTCTTAGTCTTAAATGCATTTTTGATTGTTTATGTTTCAGTCTTTGCTCTTTGGACACAGGAAAAAAAAAAGAAAAATGTCATAACAAATTTATATAAAACTTCAAATATATAACATTTCTACATGATTCGACTTCAAAAATATTGAAATCTATCGGTATTTTACTGTCGATACGTATTCGGTGTAGTATTTAATCTTTAATGCTAATACGTTATGATTATGTCTTTAAGTACAATACTTACATTTTTAATCATATTGGGTACGTAACAATGACTTGTATTGTTTTTGTTTCTATATTTAAGTAATATCTGTTTAATTTTACTTCTATCATTTAAGTGTTTTCAAGTTAACTAACTTTACAATATAAATTTGTAAGTAGTGTTTTCTAAAAATATATGTATTGATGCAGGTTTGTTTACAAGTACAAAGCAGTTCGATGTTCAGGAAGACCCTTTGTCCGACACGCCGGATTTGGACAGCGATGTTCCTAATGTTGACGAGTCTGAATCATTACTTTCTAACGTAGTTTCTGATGTCAACAAAACTCTAACCAACTTGTACAACCATGTAACTTCTGCAAACATAACAGCAGAAAATACTACTCACTCAGCGAATGAAACAAAAAAACTTGTAAAATGTAAAGACATCTTCGACGCAAATGAACAGTTGGAGCCTTCTGTTGAAGTTATAAACAGTAGCTACCTATCAAAACTGTTACAAATCAAACCAGACATTACAAGTAGAGATATGGAGGCAGATTGTGTTTTAGTAATGTTCTATGCGAAAGCTTGTCCATTTAGTGCTCATGCAGCACCACATTTTAATGCATTAGCACGCTCATACCCTAATGTTAAAATGGTTGCTTTGGATTCACTGAAGCATCATGGTACAAATGCTCAGTATGGCATTGTCGGTGTCCCAACACTAAAAATGTTCCACAATGGACGACCTGTTGGGAAATTTAATGGCACAGAATACAACATACAGTCATTCAGTAAATTTGTACATGCAATTACTGGGAAGAATCCACAAGGGTTACTAGTCACATCAAAGGACTTTCAAGGCCCTGTATCGAGTGTTGTTGAAAATGATACAGACTACTTTTTAGTATTATCTTGGTCATTCATTATAATATGTTCTGTATACTACTTTATGCAGTCAAAGTGGTGGAGGATGATTGTGGAGATGGTGCAGAACAATTGGAGAGAGAGTGAAGCACAGCATGAACACAATGATTAGTCTTTTATAATTTATTAAGTGCAGGTTTTGTTATAATAATGAAAATAAATGGTTATTTGAAAATATTTTTCTAATATTATTTAAATCATAGCTTATTAATTAGATTTCATCACCCCTTATAAAGAAAAACTGTAACTGTTTCTTCTTTTAGTTTTAAATACAAGCAAATATCATTCATTCATTGAATATAAAATGAATTTGTCTATTTTATTTTTAAAATTCTTCAGTTACTGAACTGTTTCATGTCTTATAAAATTTTCATGTCTTTAAAATTACAATTAAAAAATATATTGACAAATACTAACATTTAAACAAATTTATAGTAAGTTTTATACTTTTATTAATAATATGGTATGTATGTAAAAAATGCATATGTATTTGAGAAAATAGCAGTTATAAAAAAATAACAATTATACACATAGTTGCTTATAATAATAACATTGATTATATTAACAATTAGTCATAGAATTTGTGTACTGATACACATATTTATATATATATATATATATATATATATATATATATATATATATATATATATATATATATATATATATATATATATATATACACAATGTAAAACTTCATTTTATTTCTGCAGGCATATCAGTGCCTTGTATAGCAGCTAATATATTTTTAGCAGTCAATTCACTCATAATATCTCTGGCTTCTATAGATGCACTGCCAATATGTGGCAGTACAACACAATTCTTTAATTTAAATAATGGACTATCTAAAGGTAAAGGTTCAGGAGTAGTTACATCCAGACCAGCAGCTCTTATGGTATTATTTTTCAAAGATTCAATCAAAGCATCTTGGTCAACAGTGCCTCCACGACTGGTGTTTACAAAAATAGCTGACTTCTTCATCTTCTCAAATGCTGATTTGTTGAATATTTCTTTGGTCTCTGGAACTAATGCAGCACAGCATATTACAAAGTCGCTCTCAGTTAATAATTCATCAAAGTTGACTTTAACAGCTCCGATTTCTTTGGCTTCAGGTCTCACACTTCTATTCCAATATAGTATTCTAGCTGTATTAAAAGCTTTGACCCTTCTGGCGACAGCTTGACCGATTCTTCCGAAACCTGCAATACCAACAGTGGAACCGGCTAGTCCAGGGCCTGTCATCCAAGTTGGAGCCCATGATACCCAACCACCTGTTTGTGCTTCGTGTTGAGCCTCTGGCAGTCGGCGTGATGTTGATAATAGAAGAGCCAGCTGAAATTCGAAAAAAAAAAAACTATTTGGCTTCTGTATAAAAAGTGATTAATAATAAATAACTGCAATAGATTATAGACTTATTGAATACAATAAAGTATTTTAATATAATTTTTTAGATTTTTTATAAAACATCAAAGTATTTTAAATTGTTGCAAATATCACTATTTAATGATTTCAAGTCATATATTTAATAATATATTTAACTTGTACAAAGTTTTATTGTGCAATAAAGAATAAATAAATAACTAAAATTTCTGAACAGCTACATATGTTAGGTAAGTTAAAATATTCATGGACACTCGTCAACCATAATTGTAACAACAAACAAAACAACAATGGACTTCTATTGTGTCTCATTTAGTGTCATGAATGTACAAATAAGCAGGCATTTCAAACAAGTCTGCTTAACACACATTATTTGTGAAGAAATGTATGAAAGCGATGTCTTATTCAATAGACATGTTTGAACAGTAATGATACTCTTGTACTACTTTTATCGTTCTTAAAAAGCATCTATAGAAGTAGATATTAACTAGTAGGCTATTGAGACTTTGCACAAAAGTCGATTGCTTGGGCACCTCTATCCCATTCATGTTTCTACCGTGAAGCAGTTGTGTTTGCATGGCTGTGTTTCGGTTTGAAGGGTGGAATATGGCGTGAATTTACAGGGTACAGAGGAATGTCACCTGAGTCCTCAGGAATGGCAACGCATGGGGGGTATCATGGGCGAAACAGTATACTCTGTTATGTCCATGGTACTGCTCATGTCTATAGGCGACGGTGACCACTTTCCATCAGGTGGGCCGTCAGCTTGTTTGCCATTCTAAGTTGTATGAAAAAAAAAAGGTATTAAGTAGTAATAGGTAATATGGATACTGATCCTATATCTATATATTGAGTTCCTATGAACATTGATGGTGCAAAAAAGGTCATCACCCATTTCAATATTGCCTATTTTGGTTAAATAACATTTAACATATTTTTGCATATGTTAAATCTGTTATCCAATATAATTTTTTGGATAACAGACTTTTAACATATTTGAAGTTTTTACATTATTGAAGTATATAGATATTGTAATTAAAATATATAGAAATTGCTATAACCCACCCCCATTAGTATCATGTAGTGGTGTTTTGTAATGGATAAAAATGGGGTGGTATTCCCATCTGTGCATCCCATTTGGCTTACACTGGTGGCGCATTACTGAGAAACGACAGGTAAGAAAGAAGTCAAGTCAGCCAGATTATTGTGACAACTAAACCAGAAAACTATTGTGGTTTTTTTTTTTGATGGGTGAAAATGGTATGGTAACCCCGTCTGCGCTAACAGGATACTCTGGTGCTCCACCAGTGAAGGGTGATAGATGAGAATGAAAACAGGCCAGTTAGCCGATCATGATGAATTCATCAGGAATTAACCATGACAGTTTGCAGGGAGAACCGCGATGAGGTCAATCTGGTTGGGTATATTGCTAGCAATGGGATTCTCAGTCTCCATTACTAACAATCCCTTTCCCCCAAAAAAAACTATTGTGGTTAATTCCTAGTGAATATGCCAGGATGAGTCAACTGATTCAACTTTATTGTCATCTATTATACCTCATTGGTGCTTTATGAGCATAAACCAATGGTGCAGGAGGGGTTAGCAATTAATTTTTATCTATTAACTTTTAGACTTATGTTGGATAGTTTATACTTTGGGTAGAAAAAAATTGTCTTGGAAGTAAAGGCATACCAATGCTACATTAGTCAATTCAATTATCAAGGCTGGTGTAACCTGGTTGAAATGTCAAGATACCTTAAGTAAACTATCATAGTTCACATAGGTAGGAATATTTGCATTAATTCCTACCATTGATAAACAATAATTTTTATCTTTAAAAAAACTAGATAGTCCTTAGACTATCACCTCATATCATTATCGTTACATCAGCTTTTAACTGTCCACTTTTATACAAAAGCCTCCCCTTAAGGGGTTTTGTCCAGTAGTTGCTACACTTGGCAGGCAGTTTGACAACCGCAGTTAGGCTTTGGACATGTTTTAAGAGTAATGCTGTTACCCATCCTTCACTCTCTCTCAGTTGCCTCTTACGACACATATGGGAAAGGAAAGGGTGGCTTATTCTATGCTAGAACCTACATGGATAATATCTAATTTTCATATATTAACATATATGTATATAACTAGACCAACTTACAGTGAGTTCAGCTGTGGCATCAGTTAAAACGTCAGGTGTATATCCCAATTTGATGCCTCTCTTCTTGCACTCCTGCACGTCAATGTGATCATATCCAACTGAGATGGTAGCTACCACCCTCAGACTGGGACCAGCAGCATCAAGTATATCTTTGTCAATTTTGTCAGTGAGGGAGCAATAGATGCCAGCAGCTCCTGATATTTCTTTGAGGAATTCTTCACGTGGCACTGGTGATGGTTTTGGCCAGTATTTTACATCACACCTAGAAATTATACAAGAATATTCAGTTTCAATACGAAGTAATTAGATGTAAACAAATGATTAATTGATCTGACCATAAGACAGCCTGCTAATATCAGACAGTGTTATAAATCAAAAATTGATTTATTTAATGTTTAAATTTATTACAAATTTCATTTAAGGTTTTTGTGATATATTCAATAAAAGTGGATCAAGTTCTCATTATCATCATATCAGCTTTTAACTGTCCACTGCTGAACATAAGCCTTCCTCTAGGGGGATTTGTCAGTAGTCGCCATGCTTAGCACGCAGATTGGCAACTGCAGTTGAGCTTTGGAGATGGTTTAATAGGGTCATTTCTGCCCATCCATCACCCTCTCTTAGACATCTTCAATAACACCCATGGGAAAGGTGGTCTATTCTATGCCAGGGCTATACGGCCTGTCATTAAATTATATAGTTTATTAAATATTTTAATTGATTTTTAAAAAGTTATATGAAAAGAAAAAGTATTTTGTACATAGATGGTATATCCAAGATTACATACAAGATATTTTTATTTAAATTTATTCTTCAAAATAAACCTTTAAAAAAATAAATCTAGTAGTAAACCAGACATATTGGTCAGTGGATATCCTGAAGTAAAATATATAACTAGATACAATTAAAACTGTAAAAAGTAGGTCCTAAGAGTATCCACTGATTAGGTCGTGTTGTAAAAAAGTAAGAAATTTATAAACCACTTACTCTTTTTTAAGTAAATTCACACCACACTCTGGCATATCACTGCGAGTGATATAGACGATTGGTCTTCCTGAACTCATCTTTCTAGCTAAACTTCTGTAAGAAACTAACCTCGCTGAAAATTCGACAACGCTTTTATAGATCATCTAGAGAAAAACAGTACGCATATTCTAAATGAATTTCCTATTTTCTTTTTTGCGCTATAAACGCTACGTTACTCGAAGGCCACTGTGATTACTTCTCAGGCATGTATTTAGGCGGAGAACTGAATGACTTTAGCTCATTCTCGCCTCTAAAAAATGATGGTTTTGCGAAGTAAATTGTAATGTGAAGAGCAGCCACTGTAGCCAGGATAACCTTGCCCTTTGTCGACTTTATGAATGATAGTGCGCTCATGATAATACACAAATTTTCGTTGTTATCAGTTACATAATATGAACAATTTGTTGGTATCAAAAATCACTGGAATACCTAAGTAAATGAAAACCTTGAATAAAATAAATAAATTAGCAATTTTGTTTCGTGACTACAGATGGGCAAAGCACCGGGTTTAAACCCGGTGCTTTGGTAAAAACCCAATAAACACCCATAAACTCCCATAATCACCCAAAAAAATAGGTTTTTACGTATTTTTTTGAAAATATGTAAGTAATACCAATAAATTATTTTTATAAATTGTATTGATCAATTCTACAATATTAAATAAAACGTTAACTAATAATATTTCAGGAAATTTTAAAAATCTATATATAATAAAATGAAAGTAATTAATTTTCAGTGTTTTCATGTTGCAGTTGATCAACATGTTGGCCTTTTGCTTCCCGTAGATACTTTAAAATTTCTTCATAACACCTCGTTCGCACACATGGCCGTATATATTTAAATTCTTGAGCCACTAACAGTCCGAAATACTCATTTCTTTTATCCTCTTCTCCATAAATTAAGCATTTAGAACAGTTTGTTTCTTCTTTCAGTAAATTTTCTTTTACTTTATCCTCGTTTTTTTTCTTTGTTGCGACGACGCTGGGTAAATCATCTGGACACTGGGTCTCACTATCGCCAAATATATTTGGAGATCGGCTTCGGCTACGGTTTGGCAGACATTTTTTTCTTTCTACAATTTTAAATTAAATTTATTAGAATAAATGCTTCGAACACACGCGATCTAAGTACCTTTTGTGTTTATTATACCTTACCTACCTAGGTATAAAAAGAGTACTTACGTAGATTTTCTTTTATTAACTGTTTTATACGAAGATCTTGATCTCTCAAATTAGCATCCATTTTACTTCCAGTGATTATCAACTAAATTAATAATCCACAAAGTATTAAATAACGTTTTTATGAAATATTTAGCACAAAAACAATACCCTTTAAATATCGATCGTCAGTAACTGTGGCTGACTTACCTATATTCTAGCAAGCAGGACTGCCAGATGTGAAGGGGAAATCCCCAATAAATTGTTGCATGTGACTGATGATGTGAGCATGTTCGTTTCATAATAAAAATGTTGCCAGGTAACCAAAAAGTCGTATGTTTTTGTGCGAATTACGATCATAATCTTTACGATCGTACATTAAAAAATATATATATATATATATATATATATATATATATACAGCGACAAAATCACGTTGCATAACAATGTAGCCCAAGCTTATATCTTATGAAATATACGGAAGAGATACGGACTTAGAAAAAACAGAAATGTTGTTCTTTGTGGAAGTCATTGATGAAATTCTATGTATTTTAGCCCGCAAACTTTCTTCAAACAAAAACAGCGCCATCTAGTATCGAGTTCTGTAATTATCTCTTTGTTTATGGATTTGAAGTAAGACCGCCACGCATGCAATACATTATGACTGGGGATTCCCCTATTCGTCGACGCTGAATATGAGGCGACGACAATCACTGTCAAACGTGTTCACTATTACTCTGACTCTGGTAACGTGACTTCCTGGTAACGTGTTAGGTAGGAAAAGCAGTAAAAAAGTGCATATTAAGGGAGCAGATTTGAAATAATATTTATACTGAACAAGAAATAATTAAAGGTAAGTGGATTTTTGAATGATACAATTATATCATGATCACTTAACAATTTTAACTTAAAATTAGATGTATTATTACAAGCTTTTATTTAGCTTGCGTTATGTAAATAAAAGTATGTAGGTATGTTCGTATGTTGATGCAATTATCCTCAATCCTCAACCGACTGGGATAAAATTTTCCATACACGTTTATTTTGGATGATAGTGCATAGTTAGCTGAGAGTCGTCATTGGATAATAATGGTGGATAGCCTAAGATGTGTACTAGATATTTATTTTTAACATAATATGCGTAAGTACCTAATCGAATTAAAGAAGTTGCTGAGAAAAATACAGAACAATACGATAATAAACTAGCGTCTGCGTTTAATCCTCCGAGGAGATGTAATTTTACAAAGGTTTTTTGTATTTATTTTATTATTTTTTTAATAAATTTATTGTAAATAACAAGAAATAATCATTGTAAAAAAATAGGCACTCTATTGTTGAATTTTCGTCAGACCAACTAATCATCGTTCATTTTTTTAGGTTCAATGGGGAGACCTAAAGATTTACGCATATGGGAGCACTACCGTACTTTACCAAACAAGTCTGTTTCTTGCAAGCTTTGTAATAAGGTCTACAAATTCAGTAATGCTGCCAAAATGCTTCAACATCTTATCACTTGTCCAAAATCTCCAGAAACATTAAAAGACTCTATGAAACTTATAAAAGATAGCTCGTCCAAAACCAAAATGTCTGGACTGTCAGAGATAGAGACAAATGATTCTTTTATAAGCCCCTCGTCGTCTGCTAACACTACAATAAATGCTGAGTTTCAAGACACCGATGATCATATAAAAACAGAATTAGCGAGAGCTATATTTGTAACAGGGACGCCATTATCGATGGTGCAACATCCTTTATGGATACAATTTTTCGAAAAATTGCAACCAAAATTTAAAATACCTTCACGTAAAGCTTTAGCGACAAAATACTTAGATAAAATATATAGAGAAATGCGTTTTGAGTTAAATGAGGAACTAAATGCTTGTAGTTACTTACACCTTCAGTGCGATGGCTGGTCTAATTTAAGAAATGAAGGAATAATAAACTTTCTTATATCAAAACCTCAACCTGCATACGTTAAAAGTTTGAATACAGAAAGTAATCCTCACACTAGTGAATACCTTAGCCAAGAAGTTGAAAAAGTAATGAAAGTGTATGGAGCAAATAAGTTTCTTGTACTTATTGGCGATAACGCTAGAAATATACAAAAGGCATTCGAATTAACAAAACTCAAATATCCACATGTTGTTCCTCTCGGTTGCTGTGCACATATCCTTAACTTGTTGTGCCAAGATATTGTAAAGATACAAGAAGTAACTGTGTTTATTATGCAAGCCATAAATATAATAAAAACTGTTAAAAGGAGTCAACGATTAAGTTCCTTGTTGATAAAATCAAGGCAGGGTGAAGATTCTACACAAACACTAAAATTGCCTTGTGCTACAAGATGGGGAAGTCATGTTACTTCGTTAAAAAGTTTGAAAGCAAATAAGATAGCTTATTATTTATTATTAATTAACAGTTAGAGAAGATGTGGTAATTTCAAGAGATATTAAAGATTTAATTCTAAGTGATGATTTCTGGACGAAGACAGGGGAATGTATAAGTATTTTGGAACCAGTCACTGAAAGCATATTTTACTTAGAGAGCGACCAGAATCGTTTGCATCGCACATACATTACATTTAGAGATGTACAAGCTAAGATACGTTTTGCATTAAATGAGATTTCGACATTGAGCGAAGAAAGCAAACAGCAGATTCTAACATCAGTATCTTCAAGATGCAATATGGCAATGAGGCCAATACATTTTGCAGCATATATTCTAGACCCCAGGACTCTAGGAGTCGAACTTACTCAAGAGGAAGAACTTAAGGGTATGGAGTTTATCTACAATTTAAGCCAACACTTAAGTTTGTCAAATGTAATGGCAGATTTGGCGTGTTATAAAGCTAAAGAAAACTTTTGGGCCAGAGGATTTGTATGGAGCTCATTAGATAGCATTGAGCCCCTAATATGGTGGAAAGGTATTTGTGGTTCCACTGAGTTAAGCAAAGTAGCGATTCGTATTCTATCAGCTCCCTGTACTTCGGCAGCCACTGAGCGTTCCTTTAGTATCCAAGGCTACATACATAATAACAAAAGAAATCGACTTACAACTGAAAGAACTGAAAAAATTTCATTCATTTGTTATAACTGGAATCTTAAACATAAAGCTGAATGCGAGGACATTCAGTTTAATGAAGAAAATACCTTAGAAGCTTTCATTGAGCAAGTAAATGAACATAACAGTTTAGACGAAATAGAGCCTATCGAACCTATACAATTCATCGCTTGTAATAACTCTGAATCTGACAGTGATTGACTGTAGTTTTACATTTTACTTTCATCTCTTTCTTAATAAACTCAAAATCAAATTAAAAGTTTTTTATTCTGTAGGCTGCATAATAATATTGTCTATGTCCAGTATAGTGGACGTCTTGCGGCTGAGATGACGATGATGAAGTACAAAATCATAAATACCCAAAAATTTGGGTGTTTATGGGGTTTAAACCCAATAAACCCAAAACACCCGGTTTTTACCCACCAGACTTTAAACCCACCCAGGTGGATTGCCCATCTCTATTCGTGACTGTGATTTGTTGGAACATGATCACAAAAATGAAAGAGTATATAATCAAGGTATATATCAGTAGACAGATACTCTGTTATCTGTGAATGAAAGACAATAATACTTGTGATTGAATGAATGACTTTCTGTCAAAATTAAAGAAATTAGCAGTCTGCTTATCAACTGCTAAAATTTATAGATTTTTTGCAAATTTAATTAAAAGTATTTGAAGCTGACAATAGATGGCGCTACTTAGGCCAATCAAAAGTATAATATTTTTATACCAAATTATGATCAAACTAAGAATAGTTAGATGATCAGTTATTATAAATATTATTTTTTATATTGGCTAAGCTGATAAAATCCTCAAATATGAGAATGGATTCCAATATATTTTTTAAGCTGTTAAATGTTTATGAGGTTCATATCTAGTATTTGTACATAATATAATCTTAAAAGCATATTTGCACCGTTTTCTGACCGCGCCGGCGCTGCGGCGTCTATATAGTTCAAAAAGACTACTCTGCGTCGTATAAGGCGAGAAAGTAAGTATGGTTGATTATTCGTGTTAAGACTTTACTATTTTACGTTAAACTACGAATTGGTATTTATTGTACATGAAAGCAAAATAATAACTCTATCTGCGCTATCAGTACGCAACTACACGCTGTCAGTATACGAGTACAAGTCCAGATAACAAATAAGGATGGTGGATGATAGTCGGGTTAGTTAAACTATTACGATTATTCCCGGGGGACTACATAGAGTTCTCGATCGTATATATTTCTAGAAATTATATATATCTACATACATACATA